CAAAGAAGAATTTTGTATGAAGAGTTTTTCAAAGCATAGTTTCTACAGAAGATTCTGAAAGTACTAAAGCTGCCAGTACTGAAGTTTTGTCTCAAATATGCTCTGATCTTAAACACGCTGAAAGCACACCTGCTGCAGAAGACTCTGATTCAGCAAAACTCTGATCATCATCAGAAGACTCTGACCCAATTAGACTCTGATTAATTTGCTGAAAACTGAGGAAGAAATATTCAAAGTTTATATCCGTTGGAGTGAATCAAACGCCTATTTCCTTATTTATGTTAGACACAAGAACACAGACAAAAATGATTTTTCTGTGCTTTCTTCTTCTAGGAAAGGTCACTTGATGTGAAGACAAAAAGGCTCAGACCTTTTGGACACTCTTCTCAACGTGAAGCTCACCTTGGATCGGCTGCCTATAAAAGCAAGACTCCACCAAATTCTTCAGTTGACGTTTTGTTGAAAAGAAATCAAATATTCAAGCTCTCATACTTTCATATTCATTCTAAGAATTTATTTCTTTGTTCTAAATAGTTAAGTGAAAAATCACAGTTGTGATAAAGCTTTATAGAAGCAATCTTAAACACTTGTATTGATTTTACATTTGATTGTAATCCTTAAGAAGATCCACTTAGGATCAGTAGTTCTTGAGAAGACTTTGAACAGTTGTTTTAAGTGTTAACTATTGTAATCAGTTGATTTAATAGTGGATTAAGTCTTTGATTGAGAAAGGCAAATCACTCTAGGAAGGGTGGACTTGAGTAGTTGAGTTCAACGAACCAGGATAAAAATACTTGAGTTTTTATTTCTAAGTTTTAATCTTTCATACTTATTCAACCCCCCTTCTAAGTATTATTTCATCTTCAAAAATGTGATGGTTTGAAAACTAATAAAATTTTGCTTGAGGTGGCAGTCACCCACTTTGTTTTGGTAGTCACATACATTACAATATAAGACGCAAAGAAGAAACCATGACATTATATACATATAATAGTGATATTTTAATTTGTATTTGATATTATTTTAATTTGTATTTGATATTACGATTTTTAATTTGTATGATTTTTTTGTATTTTATGAACATGATGTATGGTTCCAACAACAACAATTTTTCCACCAAGTCATTTGTTTCTTTTGATTTACATTTGTAATGCATATGTAATTGAACTAAATAATTTAAGTAGCAGCAATTTATTAAATAGTTTCAATTTATTAAGTAGCGTCAATTTATTAAGTAGTTTCCATTAATTAATAGTTGAACTATTTAATAAACTATTTCAATAACTATTTAATATATAAATACTGCATTTATTTTATAAACAGTTCATAAAAATAGTTTATAAACTATTTAATATATAAATATTTTATGAACTATTTAATACATAAGTATTTTAATATATACTATTTTAATAAACTATTTTTTGAACAATTTATTAATTAGTAAAATAATCAGTCTTTAAATATTATTTAAATATATAAGTATTTTAATAGTTGAATTATTAAAATAATTTATAGACTAAACTAGTAAAATAGTCGAATTATTAAAATAAAAGTAGTTTAATTATAATAGTTAAATATTAAAATCATTTAGTAAATAATATTTAAAAACTAATTATTTATTAATTAATACAATTATTTTAATTATAAACTATTTGATAGACTATTCATTAGTTATTTAATATTTAATATTTAAAAACTATTTTATTAAATATATAAAATATTAACATGAATTATTAATAGATTGATTATTAAATAGATTATTTAATATTTAATAAAATAATTATTAATTAATAGACTAAATATTTTATATTTAATAAAGTAATTATTTAATAGAATAAATATTTAATAGACTAAATAGTTGAAATATTTAATAAGATAAATAGTTAAAATATTTAAAAAACTATTTAGTAATATTAATATTATTTCATAATACCAATAAAAATAAAAATAATATATAATTTTAAATAATTACTAAATAATATAAAACAAAAATTAGTTAATTAAACACATAAATATTAATATGAAATGAAAATTACTTAATTAATAACATAAGTATTAATATGAAATAAAAATTAGTTTATTAAATAATATGAAATATTAATACTAAAGCACTTAGTAATATTATTAAATATTAATATTATTAAATATTAAGTAATTTATAGTTAAAATAAATCAAATAATTTTATTAAATATTAAGTAATTTATTAAATACATAATCAATTATGAAATATATATTCCTGTTGCAATGTTATTGGCCTAATGGAAGCATAGTCATGTGTAATTAGAAGAATTTTGGTTCTCACCGTTTACCTCTCCTCACTCTATTAAAATTTAAATCAAAGAGGTTAACTATTAAATATTTTTTCTCCTCTCCTCTTCTCCCTTCCATTTATCTTCAATCAAACAAATATATATATATATATATATATATATATATATATATATATATATATATATATATATATATATATATATATATATATATATATATATATATATATATATATATATATATATATATATATATATATATATATATATATATGGACGAAAATAAAACATACGTCAGAAAGTCAGAAAACTGTATAAGAAAAAAAAATTTAATGACTCAATAGGTGAAAAATGAGAACACTTCTATTGTGAATCGGATACCTTTAAACAAAATATAAAAAAAAATAATATATGATCAAGAAACACACAAGGGTTAGGGTTAACAAAAAAACCAAGGTAAAACAATAAGGATTGGTTATAAATTGCTATTCTTTTCTTACTCTTAGAACAAGATTACAAGTATACAAGAATAACAATATAACCTCTCTTTCTTGAAATTAAGATCTTATCTTCCTATTTTTCCTTATTCCAAGATTGAGAAACTAGCATCTTATTTATAAGAAAAATAACACACTAACCTAATGGGCTTTTTAACAATTACCCATTACAAACTAACTTAGGCTACAAGCTAACTTAAACACTTTGGGCTTACAAGTAAGGCCCAATTCAACATGCTAACAACCCTAGCAATATTGACTAATGCATGTTAGAGCAAATTTCGACTACAACACGCATTACTCCAGCAGCATGCGAACATACTTCGACCTCATGCTTAATTCCTATCGAACCAGAAGCTACCCTTCGACCATACTAGAGTTCGATCCAACATCTAACAAATCTCCACCTTGAATCTAACTCTATAATATCAAGAAACTAACTTTCTTCATGTAGCTTTATCAACTGCATACAGTAGAAAAACTTGCAACTAGGCAACGTCTTGGTGATCATATTAGCAGCATTATATGTCGAAACCTTCAGCACTTGAACTTCTCCACGTTCGATTATCCCTCTGAAAAAATGCAGCTTCACATCAATGTGCTTGGTTCGCTCATGATAGGCTGAATTTTTTTATAGGTGTATTGCACTTTGACTACCACATTTAACAGTGATAACTCGACCTTGAAGTTTCAGCTTCTTTGCAAAACCTTCAAGCCATAATGCTTCCTTCACATCTTCTGTTAGTGCAATGTATTCCGCTTCAGTGGTTGATAAGGAAACGACCTTCTGAAGTGTTGATTTCCAACTGATTGTTGTCCCAAATATAGTGAACACATATCCAGAAATAGATTTTATGGATTCCATACAACCTACATAATCAGAGTCGACATATCCATCGATTGCTGCTTTATTATCTTCACCGAAGGCTCCACCATAAATTAGAACTCTATTTAGAGACTCATTTATGTATCTTAAAATCCACTTCAATGCTTGCCAGTGAGCCTTTCCAGAATTCGCCATGTACCTGCTTACAAGACTTGCCTTTCCAGAATTCGCCATATACCTGCTTACAAGATTTACTGCATATGCTATGTCGAGTCTAGTACAGACCATAACATACATCAAAGAATCTACTATGTTAGCATATGAAATGCTATTCATATAAGTTCTTTCGACATCAGTGTTGAGACACTGGTCTATACTCAGCTTAAATTGAGGGTTGACCAGAGTCACAATAAGTTTTGAATTCGACATACCAAAGTTTTCAAAAATCTTCCGTAGATATTAATCGTTAATGACTGGAGATTTAAAACTATGAGTGAGAAAAGTGTACGCCAAATATATATATAAAAATGAAGCTGGACCATTAGATTTAAAATAAATGAATGAGAAGAGAGAATATTAATTATAAAAAATATAATATTTTAATTTAATTAATTTATTTTAATAATAGATAAGAGAAAATAAAAATGACACACAATATCACTAATTTATTTTAAATCTAATTATTCAAGTTTATTCTCATATTTTTATATGATCTCGTTAAAAATTGTTTTCTTTCTATTTTAAATTTGATTAGATTACCGAAAATAATTTGGAAAAATTAAAAATACAACTATCCGTACATACAACTGTATGTGATATTATAGTAATTAACGTTAAATCCATCCATAATTAGATTCATAAATTGACATTAATTATACTATAAATTGAATTTTTTTATATTTTGAGATAGTATAATATGATATTCATAAATATTTTTGAGAAAAAGATTGATGCACTGACTACATAAATTTATTTTAACCAATAATGAATAATGATCATGTATCTCACCAACTCAAACTGAAATTTTTATATTGTTAGTGCATCTCCATTAAACCAATATATCTTTTAGAAATTATTTTAACTTTTCAGTCTAAATTGTCCTTCCTATTATTCAACGGTAGGAGATGGAATTTACTTGAGCCGACAATAGTAGCGCAATATCATAATGTAGCAAAAAGTAAAATGATAGTTTAAGGCTGTACGCTATGTATATATATGGCAAATCTAATTTAACCAAGTTTGTCTTTAGAAGTTACTTGGTTCTTTCAACACAAAGTCCATTTGCAGCATTACATTCCTATAATATCTGTGTATCAGCTTCTTCTTCACAATGCAAATGGTAGGTTTTACATGATCTTTCCCTGTTAAAATTAGATGTCTTCGTGAGAGGCAATTAGACTAATCAGCTAAAGACCCAATTCTGAAGCACTGGTGACAAGTTTAGAATTTGCCATTCTTCTGGTGATCAGATCCTTCAACTCTATCTCTCCAGGAAACCTTCCCTCCTTCAGTTTAGAGAACACCTACAATTACGAAAGAGTTTGAAGGGGTTAATGAGTTCAGAAGCGCTGAAAACGCCATATACATATCTTCCATCTAATCTAACTATTATCTCAGCAAAGCCAGAGCCAGAAGGGGAGTCAAAATTTGCTAACATAATAAATTTGCACTGAGATAGCTTTCCCCCCGACTCCCTAGTAAAAGTATGTTCGAATAATTGCAATCTGAAAGTAGATGTTCTAAACTACAAGTACATAGGTTTTACACAAATAAATCAAGGGGGCTACCATTATTACTTGGCATAGAATTAGGTAGCAAAACAGTTGCTAATTTTTCAACTAGTATTGACCGGATCAATGATGACTGCTAACATGTTATATGATAGGATTTAATACTCTCAGGTGAACATTCAGTAACCGGAAAATGAAGTAAAGTGGTAAAAATGTTGATAAAACTAGTCATGCAAGGAAACCATTCAATCATGATTGATTATGTGTGCTTATTGCAAAAGCATAACAAAATTTGAATTCACTGGACAAAGATCAGAGGCTCATCTCATAAAGAAATATTTACTAGAGTATATAAGAAAGTAAAAGATAGAAGGAGAGCGAGCACCAACCAGATTGCCGTTGAAGTAAACTTCAAATGCCCCAGAGCTTTGCAAGAACGACTGCAAGGCATTCCCAAGAAGCCAAGTAGTAGCAATGGTTCCAAACCTATTAGCACGCAAGTTAAAATACCAAGGAGGAGGTGCAACAAAACCCAACATTGGAAAAATCTGTTCGCCTGCAACTACAACACCTACAACCCCAATTTGTACAACCGGAACCACTTTACTTAACAGACGTTTTGGAAGTGGTGGAGGATAATTTGCAAGAATAACCTCAACACCAGGAAAGGCAATCTCCAACATATTCTTTAGTGTCACCGCTGTTCCCCTACATAAAACAAAAAACACATCCATTTACACCAAATTTCCTATCCTAATCATAAACCATGTGCAAAAACACAAGCAGAACAATGATCAGGAATTAATTACTTCTCAAAATTGCAAGAGAAACTAGTGAACTAAGGAAATCAACAATGAATTTCATGGTAGTAACTTATAAACATTTCATAATTGTTTTGCATGAAACAATTTACTCTTCCCATTGATTAAACTAGAATTTTCTTTTAAATTTCTGATTTTTTTTTTCTTTTTCTTTCTGTTATTTACAATGTGATATAGAAGTGAATTAAAACTTAGGTCTTTCTGAAAAACTCTGAATCACACACATTGAAAAGAGATCAAACTGATAATATTTTTATAAAGAGGGACATAGCTGATGTTATGAACCCGTAATGTAAACAGCCGCAATAATACGGTATTGGTAGATGCCAGTACTATACTATTATTCACCATTTTTATGTTAAAAAATAAATTATAATTTATGATCAATTTACATCGCGACGCCAGCCAAAAAAAGTGTCGCAAAATCGAGAAAGATATTAACCTTTGTAAAGATGAATTAACCTCAATATAAAAAACCAAATAAGTAATACACTAGGACTCTAGAGGAACAATAATTAACTCTACTAAATTTTCTCCCTCCTACTTTTCTTTTTAAGTGTCATTTAAAAAAAATGTTCTTTTAAATTGTCATTTCAAAATTCAAAGCAATATTAGTTGTATTTTTGTCAAAATTATCCCTAATGATTTATTAAACAAGAGAAAAAAGTTAAATAAATTATTAAAAATTAAGGATATTATAGGTAATAATTATTAAAAAAATTATCATCTATTAAAAAGTGACAATAATAATTAATTGTCTAAAAAATCAAAAAATATAAGAAACGGAGTGAGTATAAATCTAGGGTTAACAACATTAGTGATGACGATGATGATGATTTAAAGGAGATAGTAAGTACTTGTAGGAGCAAGAAGAGCAAAAATTGATGTTGACAGTGTTGCCGTAACCTACATCTCCAATATTTGAGGTGAGTTTCTGAAATAAGAACAAAGCCAATGATTATTATACATATGATGATAGAAAAAGGTAAAAAATCGATGAAGTTAATTGGTTGATGGAATTGAAAATTACCTCGGAGTGGGAGGGGAACGGTGCTACGGGGTCAACAATTGGACGCGGTTGTTGTTGATGGTGGTGGTGGTGGTGGTGGTGCGATGGCTTGGGCGGCGGAGGAGATGATGTGAAAAGGGAAAGGAGGTCGGAACAGAGAAGGAAGAGAGGTAAGCCAACCAACAGAAGCTGAGCGCGATCCATGGCTGACCTGAGCAAGGGCTGTGATGGGACTCGCTCACTGGTTTTGATCTAAATTGGAGTATGAAAATATCTTGATATAATTTATAATCTTTTTTAATACTATTCTATAAAAAGTTAACTTTATTTTTGAAAATAATTTATATAAAATATAATTTATATAAAATATAAATAGAGTAAAGTAGTTATTAAAAAAAAGAAAGAAAAAGAAAATACTACATTGTTTTGAATAGTTTTGGCATCGTGAGATGTTTGAGAATTTAAAAAGTTTGAAAGAATAAAAAAACTAATGACATATTGTTTTTAGAGTTTTATATTCTATTGTTAATATCCTTGAATTCAAAAAAATTACTACAATGTTATTAATCCTCTAAATAAGTAAGTTAGATCATAAATGTCAACAATAAAAAAAGTCTAGGTAAAATCCTCTAAATAAGTAAGTTAGATCATAAATGTCAACAATAAAAAATGTCTAGGTAAAAGACCTTCATTGCCGAAGCTGAATTCACGAGCTTCAATTTTTTTCACTTAAATTTTTATTTAAAAATAAATTACTTTTAAAAAAAATAATATGTATTTTTTTAAATATAAATTTTTTAAACACATGGTAATTTGGATAGTTTTTCCGCATCAAAAACTTAGTTTTAAAATTTCAGTTTCTAAATGTGGTATTTTAGATTGAACTCTTCTTTCGATAAAGATAATTTCATGTTTCGACAGAAATTGTGCATGTTGTAGTCGAAGTATGTTCAAGTATGTAGGAGTAAAAAATGTGTGGTGTTGTAGTCAAACTTGTTCTAGCATGCAATTGTATAAGTTAACTTATTGATTCAGTTAGCTTATTGCTTAAGTTAGCTTATTGGTTAAGTTAGTTGATAGTATATAAATATACTACTCTCTCAAGTTGTTGAGAGAAGGTTAAGGTTGGTTGATATTTTCTTTTAAACAATTTTTCCTAACTGTGAAAGTAAATAGTAAAACGGTTTTAACCAATTCTTGTTATTTTTCTTTCCTCTTCTCTCTTTCGTAAACCTAAAAAGGGTTTCTTGTGTTTATTCAAGAAACTCAATATTTCTCATAGTTTGTCACAACAAACTGGTGTGGTAAGCGTGGATAAGATGTCGTAAACGAAGCATGAGATTGAAAATTTCACTAATGTGAATGATTTCAGTTTATGGCGCTTGAAGATGCAAACCCTACTAGTTCAACATGATTTGTTAGAAGCATTGAAAGAATCAGAGAAGATGGATGATGCCCTAACAGAGATGGAGATGACGATGATGATCGAGAAAATCCACAATGCCAATATATTAAGCATTAGTGTTAAGGTTCTCCGGCAGGTCTCGAAGGATAAGACGACAGGAGGTGGGTAAAGCAAACTCTAAGGGTTTTACATGACTAAATCCTTGGTAAATCGTCTATACCTGAAGCAGGCTTTGTATTCATTCAAGGTGAGTGGAGACAAAAAATTTAGATGAGCAGTTGGATACGTTCAACAAGCTGATTCTTTATCAAGAGAATATCAAGTTTAATATCGATGATGAAGATCAAACATTGTTATTCTTGTGTTCTTTACCTAAGTCTCGTGCTCATTTCAAAGAAACTCTCTTATATGGAACAAATTCCTTGACCTTTGAAAAAGTTCAATCAGCTTTGTACTCTAAGGATTTTGATCGATAAAGTAGCAAGTGTACTATTCTGTCGATTGTAGTTTAAAATAGGGGGATTATCCCCAATATCGATCTCGAGGAGTGCGTTAGGTAATATAAGCTTAATTTAAATTTAATTAAACAAAAGTCAATTGCAGGTTTATAAAATTGGTTTCACGAATTTTAAACAAAAGATTTAGAATAAAGCAAAGTAATGAACAAAGTTCAACAAGATATGAGAGCATGCTAGGGGCAGTGTATGAATTGCCTTGCAAGAACATCAACCTTTATTGCATAACATAAACACAGTTTTTATCAAGTTCTTGACTGCTATTAGTGTTTACTCCTAAGGCCTTAGTGAGAAAACCTTTGAAACCATAATCAATCTACTACGTCCATAGACAAACTAATTTGAAATCAAGTATTGAAAATAGTTTCAACAATTATCAAGTACACAACAGGGTAATCCTAGTCCTAGGAATTATCTACTGAGGCATTATCGATCAAATTGTATTAACAGTGGTTTGTCCGACCTAAAGTTAACTGAAAAACTAAATCAATTTGTCTGATTGAAAAAGTGATAAAATCATTGAACGATAAAACTTGATGAATAAAAATAAGTGCTTATGTCATAAAAATAAGGAAGATAATGTCATTACAATAACAATTCAGGGACATCCCCTTAGCATTGGGGGGTTTAACTACTCATATTCAATAAAGTAAATCGAACAATTAGATACAACATTACAGTAGAAGTGAGGGTTACTTTTGATCTTCAATTGTTGTTGCCTTTGAAAATATCTCGTTCTCCCTTTTCTCCTGAGCTCTCAATCGTATCTTCTCGTTCTTTTCTTTCACAATCCAAAAAGTCCCCTTTCTCTTTTCCAAAATACGTTTCAAATACTCACAGATCCACTAGATAGACCAGGAAATTCCAAAAATGCCCTCCGGGGTCAAAACAGACAAAAATTGGAAAATGACACGCCCAGGCCAACACGGGCCATGTCAGCTGACACGGGCGGCCGTGTTGGCCCCCTGGTCCAGATACAAAAGAAAATTCATCAGCTAGCCTTGTTGACACGGGCACCTGTGTCAGCTCCCTATCTTGCACATCAACACGCTCATGTTGTCCTTCTCCTGACATGACCCGTGTCAGGTGACACGGGTGGTCGTGTTAGGCCACTGAATTTGCTTATAAACCTTTTTCGCCTTTCTGAATCCCTGATTTCTTCGCCCGAGTCCTTATCCTTACTTCGTATGAACTTGAAATTATCAAGACTACAACCAAACGCATAAAATGCACCAAGTATAACATAAACTACTTATAGAAACAATGCGATAATGAAAATGCGGAAAGTATAATAAACATCAACATTACAAAAGACGTGTTACCGATTGTTGTGACTTTATGTCGAATAAATGGACGAAAAAATCATAGATTTGGTGACCGATAACAACCCCAAACTTATCTCATTACTTGTCCTCAAGGGATGCTCGAGACAACAAGAAGGTCACCCCCAAATTATTTGCAATAATCTCACCACAATACTGAATTTGCTTAAAAACCTTTTTCGCCTTCCCGAAGTCCCTGATTTCTTCGCCCGAGTCCTTAGTCTTACTTCGTATGAACCTGAAATTATCAAGACTACCACCAAACGCATAAAATGCACCAAGTATAACATAAACTACTTATAGAAACAATGCGATAATGAAAATGCGAAAAGTATAATAAACATCAACATTACAAAAGAAGTGCTACCGATTGTTGTGACTTTATGTCGAATAAATGGACGAAAAAATCATAGATTTGATGACCGATTGTCATACCCTAAATTTGTCCTACCCTCCTTCGTTTTTTATACCAAGCTTTTTGTTGCTACATGACCTTTTCTCTAGATGGTCATTTGACCTTTGGTCGTGACTCTCTAAGATTTGGGTTATGGAGACTTTGTTTGTGTTTCTTGTGATTACAAGTCATAGCAAATATGTTGAACTTGGGTGGAAACAAGAGACAAAGTAGTGTTTTGTTCAACATTGGTTTTGGTCTCATTTTTTTGGGGGTTTCAAACCATGTCTTAGACTCATTTCAAGTCTGATTTCAAGATATTCAAGTAATGTGTGTGGTCAAATAATCTGAACTTTGTCTTGATTCGTGCCGCTGACCACAACTATAGAACGAATTCATATAGCAATTTACGGATTGGTAGCGGGCTTCGGTTTAGTTGGTTGGACTCAGATGTTGGCCAACTTAAAACTCAATATGGTGTAACTATTAACGGGTTTTGTCAAAATCATGTTTGAAATATAAGCTCAATCCAATTTGTGGTGGGGTAAAGGGCCAGGTGATAACTAAATTCTCAAAGGTCAGAGTAAAATGGCATCACATTCAATTCATGTTAAGTAGATGCAAGGTGTTATGTTCAAGATAAATAATGTGATAGCTTGTATAAGAGACATCCATGTCATAAAGAGTGAAATACTTTGATGATATGTATTATACAACGTTTTAAATTTCCATAAATTCACATTCTTATACGAGCAACACATCTAAATGAGGAAGGAGTGCCAACTGGGCTTAAGAACCACATCACCACAGCAAGTGCATCAAGAGAATCCTAAGTTGCCTTTGAATTACAAATTTTCAAGTCATAAGTTACAAAATTGCTGAAATGTAACAGTTACAATGATAATCTATTCTAAGTGCTTGCCAAGTGATGAATCCAAGCTTTACACACTAATATAAGGTATGTAAATGAGTTGCATAATTTACAGGGGGCAAAGTACATGAATGGAGACGTTGTCTAGAATAATTTAGAGTGCGAGATAGCGAATTTATCCCTAGACATGGTGGCGAAGTTCTGGTTTAGTGTTGTTGCTTGGCGGTTGTATGTCTCAAAATCCATCGATTATCTTGAGAGGAAAAGTCAAAATGCTGCAGACGAGTCAGGACATGTAAGGAAAGGCCGTCGCAATAGCGTCATTAGTCTTTCTCCTCGTCACATCGAACCACTGTTATGCATAATTTCCCACAAGTACATACATGAACAAAAATGAAAGAGGTTAACAGGGTAAAATATTAATAAGATTTTTGTTCAGAATGAACAGCAACATGGATGTGCGAGACATTTCTATCAGCACAGGGTTATCATACCAAAACTAATGGCCAGAAGAAAGAAGTTCATGTGAGCATAAGAACAACTCATACCTGCTTTATGATTGTCATCATTGTGTGCCAAGCTGTTGTCTAAATATTCCAAACATGATAGCTTTATCAGGATACTGATTTCCTCATATGAAAAAACCATCACGCGATGGACTTCACGTGGCAAAACCGTCATGTTGTGCACACACCAC